ATACTGCCCCATTATGCATTGCAGCACTCTGGGCAGTTTACATTGTCAGTATATTGCCCCCAATAATCTTCATTTTACAGAACTTGGGAGAATGGAAGACTAAGTCAACCTCGAGCCCCATGTTGTCCTTATTTTTTCTACTCTGACAATTAGGTATGACCTAATCTTATATGTGTTTCTTGTACATAAACAATATCAGTAAAAAAATTTTTTTTGAATTTATTGAAAATCCATTTCCATTTTGATTCTAGATATTTTCAGTATACTAGGTCCTGATTTAGCCCCAATTATAAGAAGTTTTTAGAATTCCCCCTTCAAAAGAGAGCTCTAATATTGGAAGGCTAGATACTCAACATTCTAGAAACTTCCAGATTAAGTTCTGTTCTATATTCTGGACTACAAAGGATTCAAAACTCCAACCCAAAATGAGAGAATGTAGGTAAAAATATATTTCTTTTGCCATGCTGGCTATTATCAACTTTCAAATTGAAAATGTATTGAAATCATTGATGGTCCTTGGTAATTGCCTGGACTAGGCCCTGCAATTTTCTTGGCAAGATTTTTAGAAGTGGTTTGCCCTTGCCTTCCTTCTAGAGCTGAGAGAGGGACTGGCTGGTTTTATGCTTAAGGTGGGACTAGAATTCACAGTCTCCCAGTTTCTAGCTTAGTGCTGCAAACATCACACCAAACTGGCCCTCACATTTATTGTTGGTTGGTTGGTTGAAAACATTTATATAGCTGTCCATTTTGTCAGCTTACAACCATGAATACAATAATATATACACAATAAAAGGATTCTATTTTATTTTAAATAAAATAGAAAAACTGGGCATCACACCCACTCTTTTCTGATGTGACCTTCCACACATAACCTTGCACTAGGTTAAGGCATGGAGAAAGAATACTTAAGTACTTTCCTGAAGATTAAAATGTGGGGAGGCTTTGGACCTCAGGTAGAGAGTGTTCCATGGGGCAGGGGCTGCAATTAAAAAAGGAGTGCTCCAAGCACCCACAAGTTAGCAATATTTAAGGGAAGGTATCTGGAGTGTGTTTATCTAGAGGCTCTAGTGGGATGGGCAGATATCCTTAAGGAGAGAGGGTCCCACATATGACTGTTCATTTAAATAAATATATTGTGTATATGTTGGCAACTACAATGTGTAAATATCTGCATCCAACCGAGCTATGAATGAAAATCTTCAATTGTAAGGTGAGTGCAGCAAAATAATCAGAAGCAGTCTTAAGCAGAAAGCAGAATGGACTACCCTAGAATTTCTCAACCTTGGCAATTTGAAGATGGGTAGACTTCAACTCCCAGAATTCCACAGCCAACAAGGCTAGCTGAGAAATTATGAGAATTAAACTCCACATATCTTCAAACATTGGACTATCTAATAATGACAAGAGAGTCATTATGGAAGAAAAAAGGAAGCAAGAGCTTTTTTGGAAATAGCCACGTGGACATTCCATTTGAAAGCATCCAAGATGCTCAATTTGATACCTGTAGAATAATATCAAAGAAACGTCTCTTTGAAAAAGATATTGCAAATGCTAGCAAATCTGAGTTTGCTAGCAGCAAAAAAGATGTTTTCAGAGTTTTGCAACCCAGATCTGATCATCCTAACTTCATTTCCTAGAGGGAGTTGTCTCAGGTTCTGTTGGCAGCAAAGACTTCAAAGGATGCCATTGTTCTAACATCCCATAAACATCTCATTCCCCCACTCTCAGAGAATACTATCCCAATGTGCAAGAGCAACTAAAGATCCTTTTCTTAATTTCTTTCATCCTAAAATATATACTGTACACCCACAAACACAGAATCATATGAGAGTGACTTCTTTGTGATCAGGAAACTCTTGTGATCAGACACATGCTACAGTATTCATACACACCACAGCCATCTGGAATTGTACCAAAAGGAAGAGACTCCCACATGGCAATGGGTGTGTTGAACAGGCTGGGCCCTCAGACGAGTATGATTTGATTTGGATGGAAGCAGAAAGGCATCTGCTTCACAGATGCAAATTAAGAGAGGAAGTACCACTCAATTAAAAAAAAAAGATAGGGAAAGAATGCAAAACATGGTTTCTACAATTCTTTGCAATCTCTTTACGCAGTAGTGACTATAGGAGGCATCAGTATTTCCTTGTGGTTAGTGAAGTGACATGTTGCATCTGTGTGTCTTCTCTGGTTCCCCACTCCTGTTATATATCTGTGTGTACCTGTGCATTGGGAAGCACATACTATGTTACACATCAGTGTTTTTCAACCTTGGCATTTTTAAGATGCGTGGACTTCCAGTCCTAAAATTCCCCAGCCCAGCATGGTTTATTCCTGTTTAGTTTGGAGGCATTAGCAAAGAGTTACTATCTTTGAGGGTATGTCCTGCAAAAACTCAGACGTTTTCCCCTAGTGTTCCAAAAACTAAAACAGTCATCGCTGGAGGTTTTTAAGAAGAGATTGGACAGTCATTTGTCTGAGATTGTATAGGTTCTCCTCAGTGGTGGGTTGCTCCCGGTTCAGTCCAGTTCTATAGAACCGGCAGTAAAACCAGCGGGAGGCTCCACCCACCCACTACGATGTCATCATGGATCATCTGCGCATGCACAGAAGGACACAAGCGAGTGAAGCAAGTGCAAGCGTGCGCTCCCACTGCAAACCAGTAGTAAAGGTAAGTGGAACCCACCCCTGCTTCTCCTGCTTGAGCAGGGGGCTGGACTAGAAGACCTCCAAGGTCCTTCCAGCTTCTATTCTATTCTATTCTATTCTATTCTATTCTATTCTATTCTATTCTATTCTATTCTATTCTATTCTATTCTATTCTATTCCATTCCATTCCATTCCATTCCATTCCATTCCATTCCAATTTCCATCTCTAAAGCAGGTTTGGAATTTTGCTCTCAAACACCTTTTGAGCAGAATCCGAGCAAAGAAAGATGGGGATTATATCATAGCTGAGTAAATAATCTACTGCTTTCATATTGGGGCATCATATTAAAATTTTCTTTTAGTTTTCTGGAAGTGCCAAGCTTTCACCTGCAGTTGAAGAAGAAGATGAATCTTAGTTTTTCCACCTTCTTTCTACTCTGGCATTGTTTATCTACCCTCAGAAAACTGCCTTTGACTTTTTAAAAAAAACTAAACTTCATTTAGGTTACGGCATTCTCCCGATCACTTGCTAAAAAGCCCATGCCTGGGAAAAAAATTGTATATTCAGAGTCACAAAATCCCACGAAAATTTATGCAACAGGCAGTAGGGGATGCATTCAGATTAGACCAAATCCATGTTGTGTAATTATTCCAAGTCTTTCGTTCTGGCCTGATTTTTAAGAAAGAAAAAAAAAATAGAAAAAACATGAAGGTTATAAAGAGGTCAGCTGATAGAACAATAAAGTTATGCTGGATGCAACCAACAGGAATGTACAGATAGAATTCATTTATCAACCACAGTTAGACCAGAAACTTTGTCAGTAAGCGAAACTGAGATTGGGCTTGTGATTTTACTTCAGCTTTCTTTTCCTTTACAGGCCTGCAGTGGTTGTAAATGCTAGGAGTGGTCACCAAGTTATTTTTTCATCACTGTTGTAACAGCGTATGGTCACTAAATGAGGCAGTGACTAAACAAGGACTGCCTGTATATCCTGCAGTCTAGGCGACTTCTTTTGAGGATGCCGATAAAATAATTATCTACCTCTGGGGCATAAATTACAAAGGAAATAATTTTTTAAAAAACTCTTAATTTCCAACTTTCAACAAGTTGACTGCTATCTCTTTGCTTTGGAAACTTCCAATAGAAATAAATGTATTTATTATTTATTCATTTGGTAAATGTATTTGGCCATCATTGCACATATGTGACCCTGGGCAACAAATAAAGTTTAAAAAGAAGGGCAAAACAAATAATACAAAACATACCAATAAAAAGGATTAAAACATTAAAAGATGAAAACATAAATGTTGGAAATGAAATCCAAACTGGTGATTTTTTTTTCCCCAGAGGCTGATGTCTATGTTACACATCATGCATCTCCAACCAGGTAGTACTATAAGTATCAGAAAAATTCCAAATGTTCAGAGAGAAGGATGACTACATGAGGACGAAATACTCTCCTGGCAAAGCACAAATTAATTAGGTTGAAAATGTGGGAATCTTGCCTAAGTTTTGAATTTGAAATTACATCAATATCAAACTTAGATCAAGGGGGGGAATTAAGAAGCTAATGATATTCCATCAAAACCCAGTGTGTATGTTCCTTTTTAAACAAATACTTATTTCTTAAACAAACTGCCTTACTTGGAAGACAGACTAGATGAGATTCTTTCAATTTACTCTCTCTTAGAACGTTTTGAGGGACACTTGCCTTCTCATTTGCAGGACCCATGAATATCTTCCAAGATCTTACCTATTTTATGTATAAATAAATGGAAATAAACTCAAGAGATGCTCATTTTACCAGTTCCTCTTCTTTTGACATTTTACATTCAGATTGTACATTCAGGATGTCTCTCACATCCTATACTTAAATATAATGTTTTCAATGGAGTATCGAAGAGGATAGGTAATATCCTAGTTATGCTATCTATGGGATAGGAGTCATTTAGGAATCCGATGTTAAGGTAGTTAAAACAGGCAGTTTATTTTTTATTACTAGTAGGTGGTGCGCACAAATATCTATACCCCTTAAAGGCTATTCATTCTAGTGTCATTTTGTTCCTAACGGAAATTTAGTCTTGAGTGGCAAAAGAAACAAAAGGTTGCAATCAAACGATTTAGCACACAAATGCAACCAAACCACCCAATTCTAATCACCCACGTTTCCCGGATGTCTCAGATTTCAATCCCCAACACACACACACCCCTTCCTCCTCCGGCCGTCACCAGCTTGCAAAAGCTTTCTCAGCCGCGGCGCCCCCTCGCAACCTTACTCCACCAATTGTGGGCGGAGTTTGTCATTCCCCCCCCCCTCCTTGCTCGCTGCTTCCTGGCGCGCGGATGTGGCGCGCGGCCGCGAAGGTGACCCGCCTGGCGGGAGGAGCTTGTTTGCCAACCATGCCCGGGCTGCAGAAAGCCAGGGCTCTCATGGCTTCGCCAGTAGGTTCCTTCTGTCGGCTTTTTTTCTCGCAGGTAAGCACAGAAGCCTGGAAAGTTTGCACCTTTTCCCTCTCCTTTCCTGCGCGCCAAAATCCGATGACTTTTCAGTTTGCGTTGCTTTTTTTTTTTCCCATACAGAGACCGAAATGCAATTTTTGAACATTTTCTTGAGATGTCCCTAGAGAAAGATAAGATATATGTGTAGTAGGGTAAGTGAGGCTGCTGCAGGCCTTCATATAGGAAAGGAGTGAGCACCAAATGATGTAGTGAGATTTATTTTTGACTCGTTTAACGTTTCAAAAATAAAAATACAGTAGGACAGTGTTTACTTCGGTATCCCCTGCATGGTAGAATGTGCAGGATTTTTCCTGTATTCGAGCATGGATTCTGCCTCTCATGCTCTAAAAGAATAGCTTTCATATAGGTCCAGCCTAAAGTGACATTCAAACTCTGATTTCCTAGAAGGGTGCCAGAGCAAACTTTCCTAGTTTACCGAATAGTTCTTAATGCCATATTCAGAATGGGCAAGTGATGAAATATATTTTACATTGTGTCAGTACAAACACAACCTCTTATGTACTTCTGTGTAGCATGACGCAAGTATGACAGGTCCGTTTGCATAATGTCATGTTGGCCACATTGCGGTTAGGAACAGACGCATATGATGGGGCCAAAGGCTAAAATGAGAAATGATACACCACAAAAGATAGTTCAAAAAATAAACAAGAGCACAGTTGGATGTGCCTTTCTCATACATGCGTTTTCAAAAGTGATTCTCACTGACTTCATTGTGGATATTCCTCACATAAGCTGAGAATTAATAAATAAATTCCTGACACAAGAGGAGGTAGTGATTCCTAGAGGAATAAATTGTAATTGTGTAAAAAAAAAAAAAACACCTTTATATAAAAACCCTTGGAGTTGTGGTTCTTATAAAAGCACTTTTCCAAGAATGGAAAAAATGGGTCTCTGGTAATTGCTGAACTTGAACTTTGATCAACTCCTGACATAGGCAAGGGGGAGCGAGAATGTTGAAAGTTAGTTGTACTTCAGCAGTACAGGTAGTCCTCCAGATGCAACAGTTCGTTCAGTGACCGTTCAAAGTTACAATGGCACTGAAAAAAGTGGCATGACCATTTTTCACACTTATGACCATTGCTCTGAATCCCCATGGTCATGTGATTTACATTCAGATACTTGGCAACTGACTCACATTTATGACGGTTGCAGTCTCCTGGGGTCATATAATCCCCTTTTGCGACCTTCTGACAAGCAAAGTCAATGGAGAAGCCAGATTCACCCTACAATCATGTTGCTAACTTAACCACCACAGTGATTCCCTTAACAAATGCAGTAAGAAAAATCATAAAATAGGACAGAAATTCACTTATTTCTCACTTAGGAACATAAATTTTGGGCTCCATTATGGTTGTAAATCGACTATCTTTATCTAGGAGACCACAAATTTTCCACCTTTCCTTTAACAGAAGTTTATTTTATTATATATGCCTACAGCACTTCTTAATCCTAAAGGAAATCAATGCTGATGGTCCTTTGGAAGGAGAGATACTGAAGCTGAAGTGAAAATGCTCTGGCCACCAAATGAGAAGAAGGGACTCATTGGAAAAGGCCCTGATGTTGGGAAAGATTGAAGGCAAAAGGAGAAGGGGACAGCAGAGGTTGAGATGGTTAGATAGTGTCATCGACACAGTGGTCCTGAGTTTGGGCAGAATTACAGAATTCACAGTGGAAGATAGGGAGGCCTGGCGTGGGAGTCGCAAAGATCCCAACACGACTTAACAACTGAACAACAAGCAGCCGCTTCAGCCTTCATATAGAAATCAAGCTGCTTAGGAAATCCTTGGTCCACATCCCAGGACTTTATGAGATAATTGGATATAGCAGCTAATATGCTGGATTAGTCCTCCCTTAGGCATGGAAGTCACCTAAGTGACTTGGGCCAATCATTTTTTCTCAGCCCGACCCACTCACAGGGGTGTTATAGGGAAAATCAGAGGAAATAATATACGCTGCCTTTACTTACACAAAATTAAGCGGTATATAAATCAAGAATAAAATGATTTGAGGATATCAAATCATTATGTGCCATATAAAAACAAAGCTCAAAATATATCCATTAAGGTAGTGTTTGACTTACAACCATTTGTTAGTGACCATTTAAAATTATAATGGCACTGAAAAAAAGTGAATTGTGACCATTTTTCACACGACTATTGTAGCATCCCCATGGTCACATGATCAAAATTTAGACACTTGGCAATTGGCATGTATTGCAGGGTCCTGGGGTTATGTCAGGGGTGAAATTCAGCAGGTTCTAACAGGTTCTGGAGAACCGGTAGAGGAAATTTTGAGTAGTTCACAGAACTGGCAAATACCACCTCTGGCTGGCCCCAGAGAGGGGTGGGAATGGAAATTTTGCAATATCCTTCCCCCAGGAGGAGAGGGAATGGAGATTTTGCAGTATCCTTCCCCTGCCATGCCCACCAAGCCACGCCCACAGAACCGGTAGAGAAAAAATTTGGATTTCACCCCTGGGTTATGTGATCACCTTTTGTGACCTTCTGTCGAAGTCAGTGGGGAAATCAGACTCACCTAACAACCATTAAGTAACTTAACAACTGCAGTGATTCACTTAACAACTGGCAAGAAAGGTTGTAAAATGGGGCAAAATGCACTTAACTGTCTTGCTTAGCAAAAGAAATAAATTGTGATAATAAGTCGAGAACTTCCTGTATTTAGTTAGAAAAATGTAACAATCAGTTCTTGAATGCACCAGAAGATGACTTTGGAAGTGAATATTTAAGGTAGAATTATATTCACCTACTCATTTTTCTTTGAAGGTACTTTTCCTCAAGTACCTTTGCTCTGCTGTATTCAATTGGTACATTTCCTCAGAAAGTAGTGAAAGAGAAAATAAAAACCTGTGCTTCTCCCTATTTTCATGCCTTGAACTTTTTACCTAATAAAAGGATAGCATTAGTTAATCAGATGTCTCTTTTTTTTTTTTTCATAAAGCCAATGCTTTCTTGTTTGCCTGCCTGCAGATAAGAAGCTGCTCAGCAATTTCAGTCTCATCCGCCAAGCCAGTGATTGCAGCCAAAGAACCTTTTCCAGTGGACTTAATAGCAGAGAAACGCTACGCCTGGTGTGCTTGTGGACATAGCCAAAAGCAGGTAGCCTTCCAGCATTTCTTCAAGATTCTTTTATCTTCATTTTGGTCCAAACTTGGGAGTCCAGTGTCTTAATAAAACTGGCAAGAAGGTCAATCCAGTTTTGCAGTAGTACATTGGCTGAGTTTGAAGAAGCCAGTTCTCTTTTTGCTAATGCAAAAAGTTTTGAAACTGTTCAACACATACAAACTTTTAAAAAATTGCAAAACAAACTTGCCTCTTCAGGCTTAACTAAGTCCCAGTTGCTCAGGCTAGGATGTTTTTGTAATCTGAGCAAAACTGCAACTATAAAATCCATAGACAGACAATGCTGTCTTTTGTTAGGCTTGTTTACAATCTTGGTTCTGTTTGTATCTTAACAGCCCTTCTGTGACGGAACCCATAAGAAAAGTGCCCCAGAAATGTCTCCCCTGAGATTCACAGCTGGAGAATCAAAAAAGGCCTGGTTATGTGGGTGTAAATATACCAAGAACCCTCCCTACTGTGATGGTACCCATAAAAAAGATTTTGTGCAAAAGACTGACCTTCATTCTCAGCCACAGGTATAATGGAAGACCATTGTGGAAATGAAAGAAGTGACAGAACTCATCAGGAAATCAGACCTGGGGTTAATGCTTCAGGACATCCTACTGTGCAAACCTTATTAAAGTTAATGGGAGCCCATGGACCCTCGCAAACGTGTATTCATGTTGGTAAAGGTTGGACACGAAAATGAGCATTATATCCCTCTTGCCTTGGTGAATTCTCACAGTGTGTGTGTGTGTGTGTGTGTTTGTGTGTTCAGTGTTTCACTTGCTTTATCCCTACTCCTTTAAAATCAATCCTACTGCAAGTCTTCTATTTGACAATTTGCTGCTAATAAGGTCAGTGCTCAAAAATTGATTCATTAGAACAAATATTTTACTTTGCTACCAAAGGGGCCACAGAGCCACAAGCACTTCCCACTTTGTAGCCCTCAGCTCTCGCTGACTATGACTACTGAAACTAATAGTACTTGCCCATTGCCACTTTGAGACTTCAAACAGAAAACCATTTGTAGTTAATATGTGGAATACTAATTAAAAAGTAGGTAAGTCCTATAAACTGAGCAGCAGTTATAGCTAAACCATATTTTATGGAAGATCTGTTCTAAGATAAGACGGGTGTCAAACTGGCAGCCAGCGGGCCAGATGGATCATGTGCAGGTCCACGCCCACCCCTGCTCCGCAAGGGGGAAAAACATCGCAATACATCACATGATGGCAACATGATACCGCGAGTTTGACACCCATGAGATAAAATAACATGTCATCATTTTTTCCTGTGAACACACTGGCATATATAATTGTCAACTACTATTAAAATGTTATATTAGTAAATATTTACTAACAGGCAGAATAACGGAAACTTAATGCATATGGCTTTGGGTAGTTTGTAATAAGCAACCCAGTTTTACGTTTGATTTTGACACTTAATGCAAAAACGCACAATTATTTTCTCTCTGAGAGATACAAATTTTATTTTTCTCTTTTAATTTTCCTCCCTAGTTCTGCATTTTACATACTTCTAGGGAACTCTGAACAAAGATTCCCTCATCTTCCAGGATATTATCACTTGGACTTCCTCAGAATAGGGAATTGCCATTTTTGGCACAAGTGATAGTTTTTCTGCTGTGCTTAAGCAGTTACGCCATCCGAGTAGGAGTCAGCTTGGTGGCGTCATCTCTGCTGCAATTAAACTCAACCTTGTCAGCAATTCCTGTCTTAGGCAATCACTTTCCTCTACCCAGGCAACTCAGGTATAAAATCTGCTTTCAGTAGATTTTATATCTACTGAGATCAGAATTAGATTGCATCACTGCCTATATAACGACTAGGGTTCCTATATGACTAGCCTAGACTAATAGTTGCAGCTTCTCAATTACGCATATTTTTTGGAGTATAAGACGCACTTCCCCCCCCCCCAAAAAAGTGGGTGGAAATGTCTGTGCATCTTATATTCTGAATATTGTGGTGGGGAAGGGGGGTTGGTGCAGCGCTGATCAGCTGTTCTAGAACAGGTGGCAGCAGCAAATGGGCCACGCCGAACGGGCTGTGGTGGCGGCAAACACATCAGATGAATGCTGGCAGGCAGAGGCAGATTTTTTTCCCCTTGTTTTCCTCCCCAAAAGCTAGGTACGTTTTATAGTCCAGAGCGTCTTATAGTCCGAAAAATATGGTACTTAATAGCAGCCTTGTGCTAAATGCTGCTGCTGTTCACAAAAGCTTCTACTCTTTTAGAATTTTGAGTTAGAAGAAAGGCTGGCTCACAAGGAACAAGTTTTGATCAACTTGCTCATTCTAGGGAAGTCTTCTTGTGAGCTACTAAAAAAAAAATGCATTGCTCTCCCCTGTTTTTATTCTATTTTCAATAAATTCTAGAGTAGTTTGAATTAATCTGAAAGGAGAGTAGTTACTTCAAGGAAAGAAACAAAAGATTGATCCCATGTGACCTAGAAGAGGAGAGACGCTTAACAAAAGAAAGGGAGAGTCTAGGAACTTACACTGTAAATGCCACTGAAGGGGAAAAAGAAGTTGTGCTTAGCTAGCTCTGTTTTCCTTATATTTCAAGAAATTATTCTGTGAGCCAATAAATATACCACTTCTTTAAAAAAAACCTAAAGTATAAAAAAAACCCCCATCTTCTTCTGTTTCAAAAATAATTAAAAATTCCATTATAATATCTGGTTTTCAGTCATGGTCAGGGGTCTCCACTGTAACAAAGAGTCATCTTTACAATAGCATAATTAAATAACCAATAATTTAATTTTATGGTAAATAAGATAGAAGAATCGTTTAAATAATGTGCACCTTTGAGAGTTCTTGTTTTTTGCAAGGTAAATAGGCATAAATAGTAACGTTCATGAACAGTATAGTAACAGAATAGTAACATCCAAGAAATAATACAGATGTGGGCAAAAAGAAGACTGTTCTATGAGATCAGGACTCAAATGTCAGTATTTCCAAGACCATTGTCACGTGCAGTGAATTGCCTGGTGTGGCTGGGCTGCCGTTTGAGTGCTGTATAGCTTCTCTGCTCTCTGTTCAAAGGCCGAGGCCATCTGCTTCACTACTTGATTGAAGAAAAGATTAGCCAGCTGCGAATGGAGGGTGGACTTGAATTCGAAGGAGACCTGCAAACGAGGTGAAATAAATTTGTGTTAAGTAGACACCTAGACACCTATATATTACAGGTAGTCCTCAACTTAATGTCCACAACTGAGCCCAAAATGTATGTTGCTAAGTGAGAAATTTGTTAAGTGAATTTTGCCACATTTTATGACTTCTGTTACCACATTTGTTAAGTGAATCACTGCAGTTGTTAAATTAGTAACATGGTTGTTAAGTGAATCTGGCTTCCCCATTGACTTTGCTTGTCAGAAGGTCAAAAAAAGGGATCACATGACCATCATAAATATGAATCATTTGCCAAACATCCAAATATAAATCACATGTCCATGGGGATGCTGTGATGGTCATAAGTGTGAAAAATGGTCAAGTCACTCTTTCAGTGCCATTGTAACTTGGAATGGTCACTAAGTGGACTGTTGTAAGTCAAGGATTACCTGTATAAGATTCCTCATGATTGACCACATCTATGCCTGCTTAAATAAATGCATGATAGTACCAGGACATTGGTACCACAAAACCTGAACATGAAAGTGAACTGATCAATCAGTGACAGATTTACAGTGCTGCAATAATTTAGAGTATACACGAACCTTTGTACTTGTGATAAAACTGGACTTTGCCAATTTGCACATTCTTGCCCCATATTCTGTTGGTTTTGGAGTCACTCCCCTTTCTCTATCAGGAACTAGTAAATGAAAGGTACTTACATAAAATTTGAGTGTGCAGGAATCCAGCCGTCCAGTGTTTCCTGGCTTAAATTGCCACAGTGTCTCCAGATGCCGAAATAACCGCCCATCTTTACTCACAGCCTGAAAGATAGATAAATCAGCAAAATTAATGCCTGCTTGCTTAAACTTAAACGGGAAAAAATAGCTTGCATTTGGCGATCCTTTTGCTGGAGCTATAAGATTAATTTGGTGGTCACTGAACTCAGGCAGAATGTGGCCATTAAAGCTAGCATCCAAGAAACTTTCTTTTCCCATTATATTCATTCAGAGTGATGAAAGAGAATTTGCTCTAGAAATTATTTAAAGCAACAGAAATTCAGGGAAGTTCTCACTAGTGCATTTATTGAATGAACCAAAAGATGAGCAGTGTCCTGAATTGTTTTCCTGCACGCTGCAGCTATCTTGGCTACAAAATTCCAAAGGAAAATTTCAGTAAGAAATGTCCATAATGGGGAATAGCTTAAAAGACTCCTGTACTAGACAAACTTGGAGAGTTTTCTTTTCCAGTGAAGAAAGTCAGAGAAACTCTCCACCTGATTTGTGTCCAGAAACACGATGGATAATTAGAGCAGTTTTCAGATATGAAGTCTTCAACACCCAAAATTCCAAGCAAATATGGCCATTGATGGATTTGGAGAGTTCAGTTCTACTCAGCTGAGGGTGCCAAGGCTCAGGAAGGCACACAGGATGCCCGTGTAACAAAAACTTTTTTGTTACAAAATATATATTGCCTGCAATATATATGGGAAAGGTAGAGGGGGACCGGAATCACTTGAGAACTGAATACTCTTGACTTACGACCCAACTATGACACTATCAATTGAACCAAACAAAATAGCTGAACTTTTGAATACATATGGTATCATGACTTAATAGAATTTCACATATACATTTTGTTACATTTTTATTTTTTATTTAATAGATTTGTATGGCTTCTCACCTTGTAAACCAATTCTGGGTAGCAAACATTTTTTTTAAAAAAAAAAAACTATAGACCAAGCAATAAGAGAGCAAAAAGGAACACCCAATGGCAACTGGGGAAACTACTAACCAACCCATCTGGCTTTAACTAATCAATTAATATCCATGCCTGAAAGAATAGCCACAACCTAAAGGCATTCTGAAAGGCCCACAGAATTTGGGGAGGGGGGCGCTGACCCAATGTCAAGTGATACACATTTCTTGATTAGGGTTCAGTATTAGTATCATATCCCCTCTAGAGGCAAAACAACACTGGAATTTGTGTTTTCAGATAAAGGATTTGGATAACAAAAATATTTTTTTTTAAATAATGAATATGGAGACCAGCATTCTCTAACTAGATACTGTTCACATACATTAGACTATGTTGATGCTATGGTTATAGCATCAGCATATTTTGAAGTTAGCAGGTTATGCTCAGTTATAGCAAATCTTCATGTGGGGAAATATTAAAAACCTTGGTATCAATGTTTTTTTAAAAAGGGAACCCAACTTTGGTCTTGATGACTTAGCTGAAGTTTGTCACATATCAGCTGATAAGTTGTTGCAACACCAGTGTTCTTTCTGAAAGGACAATGACATAATACAATTTCTCCCAGAGAGAGCAGTGCCCAAGAAAAGGGAAATGAGTCATAAGCAGCAGCTACAACAGTTCAAACCAGATTTAAGTTGGGTTAACAATATTATGACTCAGGTACAATCTGGGGAGTGGTCAAAAAAGTCAAGATGACAGCCACACAATTGAAACACACAACTGGTTGATCCACAAAATGGCTGACCACATTTCAGTCTGGTAAGATGTTCTGAATCCAAATAAGTATTAATTTCAAGTTCAAAGTGTCATTACAGCCCAGAAAATTGGGTTAACTGAATAAACCATGGATAAATAATTTGGGGGTTAGCGTGTCTTGTGAATGTGTCCAGTTTCTGGAAAAACAAACCACTCAATTTGTAACTAGATTTAAACCATCTGAATATCATGCATTACCCGGATCTGGCAGTGAGGCACTGAAGAGATCTCCGAGACATAGCGCTCAACCACAGGAGGAAATCCCACTTCCAGTTCAGCCTGGGAGATTTCTTTGTGATGGGAAATTATGCGGGAGCAGTTGCACCAGGGAACAAAGAGCTGGTAGCTGCCAACATCGGCTATAATGTCATACATCTGGTCAACAGAGTACCTGCATGAACAGAAGTAACGGGGATGGTGAGCAAAAACCATCAATTAGCATTTAAAGACAAAGATACCTTAGGAAAGCCTAAACACTTGCATCAAGTGAAGTTACCCTCCAAACTTTTATTAGCATTGCTCAAGTTTTAGCTATGTATAAATGTGAAGTCTATATCTGAAATATTACCCAGTTTTGATCATTGCTTCTCAAACAGATATGAAAAGATCAAAAGAGCTGTGAAAACAAGCATTTCAGGTTGAGGCAAAGTTCCTTTTATTTGGTAGATGAAAATAAGGTGCTTTCCCACCAATTTTTGGTAGGACAATCTCAGGATGTAAGAAATGTGTATATATGGGCCACATCTGCTTAGTAAATTATGAAAATACAGCCATTTGGTCTTCGGTCTGATCATTCATAGTTCTTATATTTTTAATATATAAGAAGTAATCAATAATAAATCAATAAAAGTAATCAATAAAAGGATGCTTCTAAAGACGTAGATCTGAGAATACCGTGTTTCCCCGAAAATAAGACCCTGTTTTATATTTTTTTGAACCCTGAAATAAGTGCTTGGCCTTATTGCACTCAAAAGCCCGATTGGGCTTATTATCAGGGAATGTCTTATTTTGGGGGGAAATAGAGTTCAGAACTATATCCGGAATGATCTAAATATACGATTACATATTACCAAATGTTTCAAAGTAGATCCAAATCCTAAACTCAAATGGAAAAGCAATCAGGAGATACTGCTACCAGACAACTGGATAATGATATTTCATTAAGTGAGATCTCAATACTGCTATTCCACCAAATGAGACCTCAACCAGGATTTGGCTTACAATCATGGTTAGAACTGAGCTACTCACGGGAGTTGACGGATTTCAGTGTATTCCATGCGCTTGGTAGCAAATAGAGGAGCTGCAAGATTGAGGAAGGGCCGGACCTGCTTTCTCATAATTGATTTGGAGTCCAGGAAAGAGCAGGAATTCATAATTAGAGGACCAATGAACTTACTAGAGCTTAAACATCTCCAGTGAAGCATAGTGGGAATGATCCTGTAGAAAAGAGAAAAGGAGACATCAAAGAGGCAAAGCTTAGAAGAGGGAATGGTGAGCTTCCTTATTTCTCATCTGAAGGCAGATTGATAAGAGCTTCCCTTAGGACTAACGATAGTTGGCAAACAATCCTCAACCTTCTCTAAGTCTTAAGATCATAAAGATTCCAGAATTCCCAGATAATCGATAGCTACACCAAGCAACAACTACTAGCCAATCTTAACTAATTCAAGGGAAAGGAAGGGAAGGGAAGTGGGAAGGATCTTAGATTCTCTTAGAATTTAAGAGTAAAATCTTGGAAGAAAGGATGAAAACCTACTCCTATAACACTGCTAGGAAAATTATATGGATGTATTTGTATTGTTTAGTTGTCAAACTTGATTGTGACTATTCCTTTTTTTATTTGAAACACATTTAAAGGGCATTGATAATGCTTCTCTGAATAATTGGCAACTCCAGAAAAGAAAAATGGTCAATTTTGACCCTCATTGAATCCTTTTTTCCCATTTCCAATAGTGCATTTGTATATTTAAGAGCTGTTTAGGAAATTTGGTTTTATTTTGCTCCCTATACTTGTTTTTATCTCTTTTTTATGTTTTTATTTTTATTCTGCTACAAGTAGAATTAGCTTTGTTATGGGAATTACTCGAAGATTTAATTGTTTGGCAGTACATAAATAAACCAAGTTAATTTTGCAGTTTAATCTAGAATCAGTAAATAATTCCCACTGAATTTAGTGCAGCTTAATTCAGAGTAGATTTTCTCCTGAGGTATGTATGATCATCTTACTGTGAAGAATGAGGGATTCAAAATGCCTATTTTTATTAAGTTACATCAATTCCAAGTATTAAATATATTTTATTATTAAATTATATTAAATAATTTAACAAACTGGCTATTAAATCCATTACACTGAATGAATTATTTTACTGATTATCACACTAAGCAAAAGTATTCCTAAACCTCAGATGTTAATTAAATGAAACTCACAATGCCCGCATTCATTTTCATTATTGGAAATAAATTATATAGCTTGTTCAAAAATCACTTTTAATGTGGTTTAGTTTTAAGTAGATATGCTAGGTATGAAGGTTCACTGAAGTGATACCTAAGAATCTTTCACTTGTTACTCTGCAGAAATAAATCCACGGGATTGGGTGGCACCATTCCCAGGTGCTCTTCTTTCAACTGCTTTAAGTTATGTATTAAACATCTTGGGCAAACTGAAATGATGCTGTGGCCGTCAGAAAAAAATGGATTCTCGTGTCTTGTTACTGCTTTAGCAAGCATTAATGCTTGCTTTAATATAAAAAAAAAAAGAGTTGGCAGCTTTCACATAAACCCGCTCAGCTTAAATGAATCACTTTTCTACGGCATCCCCACAACCCGCCAATAAAATAGCCCAGATCTAGCCCGGTTTAACATATCGTGTGAATCCAGCCCATCAGTCTCCGACCGTGGGACCGCCTGGCAGCCGGTTTCGCCCGCCGCGGAGGCCCAGATTCGGTTTGGGGAGAAAGGAAACCGGCAGCAAGACAAGGAAAGACAGGACCTCCCGATCATCGGGACTCATTTCTTCCTCTGGCACACGCTCTTACCTTGCATCCCTTGGAAAGCGCGGACGCAACCCGCTCCCGAAAAGTCCCCGAAAGGCATCCAAACTCTTGCTAAGGTGCCTGGTTCCAGCCATCGCTCAAATGTGCTATCCAAGCGCCAACGATTCCGAATGAACCGGCGAAAGACCAGATCTCCGCCCCCGTCTCCTCCCCTTTACACCCTTCCAGGCTCGCCCGATACGCCCACGGCGGCCAGGCTGGCGGTTTTTGATTTTAAAGAGAATGAGCTCCATTATTCTTTACAAAGATAGGAAGTATTTCCAATCCCCCATTTCTGATTTTAAAAGACTTTTTAACATCGAAGGGCGAGCTAGGATCGTATAGCCTGCTCTGATGAAATCTGGTTAGCAGTTTGTAGCCAAAGAGTAACTTTGATGGTGAAGGTTTAATTCTCCGAGCTGGTGGATTGGCTTCCGAACGTCTCCTTACCAGGCTAAGTAACGTCTTCAGCGGAGTTAAGGGGAATTTAGGGAGTTTTCCCCTAAACGCCGCTGAGGATGTGTCCTAGTTTGGCAACCCACCAGCTCTCAGAACGAACCTTCACCGTCCCTCATCCTACACCCGAGCTACAGATATTCGCCACTATTGCAAGAGTAACTATCTGCACCGCACAGTATTCGTTTGAGTGTTTTAACCTTGATTTCACCGAAGTAGCAAGTTGGTAGATTCAGACAAGCACTAAACTACAACAAAATTATCCAAGCTGAAACCTTAACCCCTTACAGCACATTGTGCAAAGGCTGCTTTGTGAAGATCGAATCGATATGGTTAGTTTTGCTTGCAGTCGTTTCTTTCTTTACCCAAACTAGTAAGAGCTAGTAAGGAGTGCAATTTGCGGTCAGTTTATATTCTGGTGGCTTGTCTGTCAGTGTTAGGGGTGGGGGTGTCTTAGAGATTCTTTTTGTTGGGCTGTTTGCTGTTGACTTCATTAGCAGTTTTTGATTAGGGTTTTTTGTTTGTTTGTTTGATTGTTGGTCTGATGTTAACCTTGGAGTGAATCTGTGCTAATCTGGGTGGTGATTGCTGGTGGAGAGGGGCTTGGGTCTTTTTGTTCCTTTTGGGGCTGGGTAATGGTCTATATATGTTGTTAATGTCTGTGCGTCTATTGATGGCTGATTTGTCAGAGTGGCAGGCTTCTAGAAATTCCCTGGCATTTTTGGACTTATCTTAGTCTAGGATGGTCACATTTTTCCAACTGAAATTATGGTTAAATCTGCCTATATGTTGAATAGAATAGAATAGAATAGAATAGAATAGAATAGAATAGAATAGAATAACTTTAATGTCACATTGAATGTACACTAATTGGTATACATTAAAATGAAATTTCATTGCATTCAGCTCTCAAAAAGTTACCACCTCCAATATACGCTAGATAAACCTGACAAAATAAATAAATACAAATTTATGCGTATGTTCATGGATGTGTTCTGTCAGTCTTCTGCCTGTTTGTCCTACATAGTGGTTGTTGGCAGTCCTTACATTGTTATGTTGTAGATGACTCCTGTTTTTTCTTCTAGGGTTGTGGGGTCTTTTGTTCTGCTTAGAGTGTTTTGAAGGATTTTAGTTGGCTTCTGTGCTATGCTGATATCATGTAATCTGTTGGTGGTTTCTGAGCTATTCTTGATGTATGGCAGTGTAATTCTTTTTAGAGTTTGTGTTGGTTGTGCTGTATTAGTTTGAGTGGTCAGAGACTTTTTGATCAAGTTGCATGGATATCCTTTTTGTTGGAATATGTTGTATAGATACTCTATTTCCTTTTTCTGCTGTTCCAGGTTGCTGCAGTGTGTTTGGGCTTGTTTAAATAAAATCCTTACACACATAGCTTGTGTGTGCCCAACTTGTGGGAAGTTGGGCTGTTACTTTGGTAGTGGAGCACCTGGTTAGTATGGATGGTTTTTTAGTAGACTTGTGTTTCTAGTTTGCCACTGTGGTCTCTGCAGAACAGAGTGTCCAGAAAGGGAAGAGAAGGCTAAATAAGAGCACCAAGGTTGACCCCTCATGTCAACCTTGAACTACAAATATTCTCCTTTATGGGTTAGTTTATGGTTCGGTGAGCCAAGCAAATCCACCAAATTGTCAATTCAGTAAACCATGGTTAGATCTGAACACAGCAATAAAAAGCAAAATTAGCACTATTGCTAATGAAGGGAAATAACAGAAACAAAAGCAAAACTTGCATGATAGGAAAAGTTATTGAACAAATACAGGAATTATAAAATACTGCTATATCACTACCAAAAATGTTAAGTTGCCAAGAACTGTTAATTAGGTAAGAGTGGTAGAGTGTGATAGGAAAGGGGATAGTGGATAAATGGGTCTGATTTCTAAGTCAAATGTGTAATGACACAAGTGGAGGGCCTGTAGCCTCCCAAATTATGCCTAATTCCATAGCTGGAGTCTGAGCAATCATGAAGGATGTCAAAGAGCTCAGGTCCAGAATATTAAAAATTTTCAGATTTAGATGGAATATGTGAGTAGGCTACAGACTTGCAAATCGGTTCTTATTAAATGCAAGGGGGAGTTGGAGTCTTAGACTGCATTAATAAGGCAAGAGGAAGCAAGTTTTCCTTTGTCTTGGGGGGAATTTAAACAGCTGCAGTTAAAACCAGGCTAGTTCCTCTTTCTGAGCAAAATCTAAGTGGAGAAAAGAGAGGGAGTGAATTAGGCTGTTTATTTTCAAAAGCTTGAGTGTTTAGTCCAGTAGGCTAAAATGAGCAAGGAAGACAGGTAGGAATGGGTGGGTGTGAAAGATGCAAGTGTTTCCAAAATGCTTTTAGAAGGAAGATATCCTGTCACAATCCTCTTCTTCCTCAACCTTCCTGAAAAATTGAGTGAATACTTGCTCAGGCTCGCTGTGCTCACTCTTATTGCAAAATACTGTCCCCTTTACTCTAAAGGCACTTTTTAAAAAGGCAATTGAACTTACTTTGTTTTTCCTTGAAGACATTCCGCTTCTCTTCCAAGAAGCTTCTTCAATTCATGAACTGAACCTGGATGACTGAGAAACTTGACAGACACAGTCCCCTTTATTTAGCATCTCCTCTTCACTCCAATTTGTACTCCGGTATCAAAGGGTCTGTCACCTTTGGGGCATCTAATTACATAATAAGTGTGATGTCCTTTCATTGTCTTGGAAATCCTATTGCTTCATAATTAAGGTAAAGCAGTTGTAAGAGTAGAAGAGTTAAGTTTCGTTGGCTGTTTTGCCATAGGTCTTCTAACGCTAGTAGTGTTTTATCTATATATCTATTTCCACTCAATGGAAAAGGAGTGGAGAAGAAAGATAGATTACTGATAGATAATGTTTAGCTATAGAAATAGTGTTCACAAGAACCATTGGTGGTGTAACGAAATGTCAAAACTGTCTGAATCAACTTCAAGCCAGATGTATTCAAGGCAAAGAGTACATGATCAAAATACTGTATTTGTTATTGCAATGGGAAAGTGGCCCTAATTCTCTGCGTCATATGACTCTACTTTCAGAATCAGACTGATGTCCTACTGCCACCAGATATGAAATATTCAAGGTGTCAAATCTCTGGAACATTAAGCTATGAGATTGGTATCAAATGCTTATTTGGGAAGTAATTAACCTACTATGAAAATTATTCTTCCCCATTCATAGCTTGTACCACTATAGTATAGATATGTCTAGCACATCACCCTCCCTTTCAATCCTTTGGGGGGGGAGGGTATATTTATACATCAAATGTGATCTAATGTAATTCTTAATGGAATCTCCCTGCCACCCATCTGAAAGTTTATGCATTTGTTAGATGAAAGAAGGTTACAAACTTTGACTCATGGTCCATGAAATCATATAGTCTGAATAATGAAAGCCAGTGAAATTAAATTAGCTTCAAATGAATATAAATAAGATAGTGAGACATTTTGGTCTTGCATTCACAATATAAGCTCAAATATAAATATAAATGCATGCCATATCTTCAACTAAAATGATGAAAATTGTAATTGAAATATTTAAATTCAAGTGATTTTCAAAACAAATCAGAAAAATTGGTTTAAACTGTATTTGTGAATATTGATGTCCTAGAGAAGACTGAGTAGGAAACCCACCCACTATTGAATCAGAAAAGTTCCCATTAGTAACACACAACCACACAAAGCCAATATATTTGCTTTCTTTATATGTAACTTTTGCATAAAGGATATCAAGTACAAAACAGTGGCGCCTAAACAGAGCACTTATGCCATGCCTATGTAACACTGAATGTTCTTTTGTTAGTAGCATTAATAAAACTGCTTCCATCAAAAACATGTAACATCAGTGGCTTCACATAGCAGTGTCTTTTCCTTCCTGCTCAGCAGGTACCCCAACTGAATAAAAAAAATCAAATCCTACGATATACAAAAGTTACCTCATGCTTCTCCCTGAACCTTTTTCAAGAAGAAAAAAGGTCAAAGGGAATATCACCCTCCACACCACCAAGTGTTTGGAACTCTGTTTCCTTTATTTCTTCCCTCAATCTCTGCCCTTATTAGAATGAGTACTCCTGATGGGTGCACATTTTTCCATACTGGTAGCACTGAGGGGGCAGAATGATGAGGTGATTGCATCTCAGTTCATGGGTCTATTTCAGGTTTGATGCGTTTCTGAAGCAGGGCCCAAGCTTTTTCCACCTGTAAAAACAGACAAATTCAACTAGCTTATTGGGGATGACTCTCCAAAGAAAACTCATTTAATAGACCCAGTAAGATGCTGTCTTACTCAGCATCTGCTGTTATGTTTTTCTTACCATTTTATGTGTAATTTCTGGCTCCCACATTGTGCAAAGGACTACATGTGACTGCTTTACACGCTGGCTGTTAGGCATTTGGTTTTGTATCCGCAGTTTGGCGGCTTCTGAACTTAGGCCATCTCTCTCTATGATGCGTCTTATGGCCTTGAAAGAAACAGAGACAGAGAAGTGTTAGAGCAGGCAGGTCCTTTTCTTAAATGATGCCTTCTAAGCGCGGCCTAGGAAGCATGACTTTTCTGTGGCAGCCCCTGCCTTGTCCTTTCCCTTCAGATCCATCAGGTCCAACCTCTAAATCTTCTGGAAACTCATGAAGATCTGGCTTTCCCTC